GCACATGTCAGGGTGAAAGTCTTGGGCATTACAAAGTTACCGATAATCCTTCCTTTGAGTGTGTCTTGACTGACCCACTGTGACACCTGCCAAATTTCATGTGTGATGTGTCAAGGTGTAGTTCTGGTGTGGAGCACGTGCTACACTGTCAGGACGTAGATACTACACTATATAAGGTACCTCACAAACTCAATTAGCAGTGGTTTCGTCCTTATTTCATTACTATCTTTTCTCTTCCTGCAGATGTTTAAAACGTTTATTTAATGGACACTATTTTCTGCCGACTGTTTACGTTTGCTCCAGAATGGAGAAATATATGTACATGTATATAAATATGTTGCAGGCGCTTTGATTAGTGTATATACGCACAAAATAATCAATGAGAATGGCTTTATGCTGTAGTCATCAGTGCGTATCTATCGTGCATTTGGGCGAATCTGACAATATTCAGCTTAAAAAGGTAGGTCCCACCGAGATTTGAACTCGGATCGCTGGATTCAAAGTCAGAGTGCTAACCATTACACCATGGGACCAGGTGACAGCTTAAGCTGATAGATATCCATCAATTTCCAGTTAAGCTAAGATGAAGCATCTGGGGACACACAGATGTTGTTATCCTACACTAGATTCTGGACAGGAGAAACCCTTCAAATGGAATAATATTAGGCATTAAATCTGTGTGTGATGTAGGGGTGTGAGGGTACTTTCACCTGGCCAGTGTAGTCTTTCGATTCAATATGGTTTCTTTCCACATGACAATCATCTTGAAAATCTTGCCAAAAAGCGCAGTAGGTCCTACCGAGATTTGAACTCGGATCGCTGGATTCAGAGTCCAGAGTGCTTTTTTTCTCTTTAATAAAATTTTATTACAGAATATATTGTACATGAAGCATTTATAATGTTACATAAAAGGGCTAAAAAGGTATCACAGATGTTGTATTGCATTCAAGTCATGTATAACATTACATGCATTTCATTCTTGAAACGGATACTTAAATACAAGCTTACTACCGTCTAACCAAATAGAAGCCAGGAAACTAACTGGTTAAATGAAAATCCAGTGTCCATCATTAAATCTGTGAACAGAGATTTAAGAACGGAAATTGTGTCATACAATTGATCACAGAATACAAACATATGAAGCAAATTTTCAACTTCAGTTTTACAAAGCGGACACAGGTTAGTGTCTGTTTTGCCATATTTGAATAATTTTTCATTTGTGTAGATAATATTATGACTTAACCTGAAATCCAAATCAATTTGTTCAGAGGATTTATCTATCAAGAATACACTTTTCCAAACTTTTGGCCAGTTAATGTCAATTGCATAGTTATCCCAGAATGAAATGGCTGTTGGCTCACAAAATAATGCATTAACAAATAAGGAATAATTAAATTTAACTGTGAGATCGTTAGAAGAAATATTTACATCATCTTTGCAAATAACAGCATCAGAATAATGTTCATTGTTATGTTTTATCGTTTTACTTGACAAAATTGACAACCACTCACTTGGTAGTGACTGAATGATAATACAGTATGCTGTCTGTATCTCTGACACAGGTATATCATGTCTGTGGTCGTGTATAATTTCTTTTATTGCTGGAAGAGGTAAAAGCCTGGGATAAACTCATAACAAATATCGGCAATAGTAACAATGCCTGAATCAATGAAAAATCTAAACAACAGCATTTTGCCCTTATAGCAAATGTGCGGATTATGAAACAAAGGCTGCGACATGATATCCCTCGTGCTTAGTGACAAGCAGTCGCCTGCCGCACGTGATTTCGTCCCATGCAATCAAAACCTCAGCATAGAACGTGTTCATATGGGTCAAACCAGGACGACTGTAAACAATACTGAAAATATTTTTCTTCAAACCCATGTTCATGTATTGGGACATGAACACAGAACACGTTTGCTTCCATACTGCATGGAAATTAGCATCCATGAGTTTTCGAATGACTTTTAATCTAAATGCATATATTTTGTATTTAAAATATGGAATTGATAATCCCCCCTGTGTAAAATGACCACAGCATGTCGACTGCTTGATCAGTGGGGTTTTACCGCCCCAGATAAAATGTGAAATTGCTGAATTTATTTCTTTCCTTGCCCACTCTGGAACAGGCACTACATGTATAGTATACCACAACCTTGACATTATGAACGTATTTATCACAATAGACTTACCCTGTAAGGATAGGTTTCTTTGTGACCACAACCCTAACAGAGACTTAATTTTAGATATTTTGGTTTTCCAGTTTTTGCTTTCACATTGAGCTTTATCAGGACCAAGGAAAATCCCTAATATTTTGACACAGTCATTTTTAACAGTAACTGGTAAGTTAAAATTTATATTGTTTGACCGGGCTTTACCTAAACACAGAACTTGAGATTTTGTTAGATTGACCTTTGCCCCGGTTGCATCACAATAGTCATTCACAGTGTCGAAAGTATTATATACAGACTGTGCATCAGACACTGTAACAGTAGTGTCGTCTGCATGTTGATATATTAAAGATGAGCACTGATTTGTGATTTGCACCGCATGTATAGATGAGTTAGCCTTTAATGAGTAAGTTCAAGGGTTGACTAACAATAATAACAAAATTAAGCTACTGAGGGATCACCTTGTCGGACAGATTGTTCTATTGGAAAATATGGTGTAAGGTGACCATTGATTTTTACACTGCTTTTTAAGTCAGTGTATAAAGTTTTGATCCAAGAAATGAATGATGTACCAAAATTTAGTTTTTCCAAAATCTTGAAAATGAATGAATGTGAGACGCGATCAAATGCTTTTTCTTGATCAATCGTGATTAGATATGCATCTTCATTATCTTTATCCACTATTTCTATAACGTCTCTCATAGAGAGAATGTTGTCGGAAATATCCCTTCCTGGAACACAACATGACTGTTCCAGCGAAATTATTTTGTCATAATTGTTTTTAATTTAAGAGCAAGTGAACGAGATATAAGTTTACAATCAACATTGAGTAACGAAATTGGTCTAAAATTCCTTAGGTCTGTTTTATCACCCCTTTTCTTATAGAAGAGGCTAATAACACCTTTTTCATTGATCTTGACATGGTTTTTCATCAAAAATACATTTCACCACTCGTCCAAATATGGGTTTAAGTATCTCCCTAAAAATGCAGCGTAAAATTCAACTGTAAGTCCATCGTTGCCTGGGGATTTATTTCTTTTCATACCTTTCAGAGCTTTAGTTAGATCTTCTATGGAAATAGCATCTTCAAGACTTCTCTATATCTTTATCTGGAAGAACATCAGTTATTAAATCTAGAATTTTATCTTGCTTATATAGATTCAGTTTCTCCGATTGAATATAACTTTGGAATAAAATGAATATGCGTGATCAAGAATATCTTCAGTTCTGACGAGTTAAACCATTTTTGTCATAATTTCTTTGATGCAATTAGATTCTTGTTTACATTTTTCTAAATGTAAGAAAAAAGATGTGTTTTTATCACATTCTAAAGCCCACTGAACTTTGAGCGTAGAATAGCCCCTTGACATTTAGTTTGTTCATATTTCTCCAAATCTCTATGAAGACTTTGGATGTAATGTAAGATCATGATTAGGATGTTTAGATAACTTGTCATATTCATGGCGTAAATTATTTTGCAATTTGTAGTATTCACATTTTTCTTTCTTTGCTTTTTTGCAAGAAAAATAAATTGCACATTTTTTAAGTTTATATTTAAGGTTATCCCACCATATTAATGTTTCTTCTTCATAAAGTGGACATAATAAACTTTCATTGATAATGCTTATCACCCTCAGCCGAAATTCAGTGTTCTGAAGCAACTGATTATTGAAAACCCATAATCCAGCACCTTCTCTACATGAGAGAAATCTAAATTTAGGCATGTGATATTATGATCGCTTTTAGTTGAATATTTTATATATGTATTCATTACATGAGGAATTAGGATCTAGAAATCAAAATGAAATCAATACGAGACTGTTTCATTTCACCTTCGACAATTTGCTGTCGTGTGAATTCTCTCTTATCTGGATTTCTGTATCTCCATATATCACATAGGTTTTGCAAACGTATGATGTCTTGTAATTTATGACTACTCTTTATATTAAATGATTTCATATTAGCTGCTCTATCCATGAATACATCTGTTATCTCATTATAATCTCCTGCTGCTATCACATTATCTCCTGATAAATATGTAACTAATAAGTCATAAAAATACAATTCTCTCAGTTGCATTATTTTGGTGCATAAACATTTACACATGAATACAGAACGCTATCATGTTCAAAAGTCACTTTTAAAAGTCTACCAGTGTTGTCACAACTGTGAAAATTTACCTTGTTGGGAAACCGTGACGAGAAGAGTATTGCCACTCCCTTCCTTTTTTCATTGGGACAATTATTAAAAAAATATTTGCCCTTGCCACAGATGTTTATAGTGTTTTACGAAATCGTTATCCCAGAAAGTTTCTGAAGAAAACAAATATCAGCATGTGAATTTTTCACAGTTGTGAAAAACATGATGAACTTTAGAAACATCTCTCAGACCATTCACATTCCATGACATGATTACCACCATGACAATTAAGGTGTAATAGAGGTGATACATTGTTAATCTTCGTATTCACATTCAAAGTCATTCACGTCAAGTTTTTTACCATCAACTTTACCTCTAGCCTTGACCTTTCTCATTTGCTTCTTACTCATTCCATTCCCTCCATTTACTGCTTTTTCCTCTTTCTTTCCTCAGACAAGCTGACAACTCTTTTCCTCATTCATACCTTGTATTTTTTAAATTTGGTATTCTGCTTACCATTGGCTGGAGATGGTTTGTGATCAGTGTTCTCCTCGCCAATAACCTCTTTCTCTCCCTTTCCTTCTTCTTCATTCTCACTTTTACTCCCACCCTTTTCATTCTCACTTTCCACATTCATTCTCTCTTGTGCAACATCATGCGAGGTTCAATGACAGATGCATTATCCGTTTT